TTCTATTCTCAATTCGAAATATCCCGTTCTGGATGGTAATGTTATCTAAAATTCGCATTTTTATATATTTTTCTATATGTACCCCCCAAGTTTCTATGAAAAATCTAAATTCAGCCTCTCTTTCTATTCTCAATTCGAAATATCCCGTTCTGGATGGTAATGTTATCTAAAATTCGCATTTTTATATATTTTTCTATATGTACCCCCCAAGTTTCTATGAAAAATCTAAATTCAGCCTCTCTTTCTATTCTCAATTCGAAATATCCCGTTCTGGATGGTAATGTTATCTAAAATTCGCATTTTTATATATTTTTCTATATGTACCCCCCAAGTTTCTATGAAAAATCTAAATTCAGCCTCTCTTTCTATTCTCAATTCGAAATATCCCGTTCTGGATGGTAATGTTATTTAAAATTCGAATTTTTATATATTTTTCTATATGTACCCCCTAAGTTTCTATGAAAAATCTAAATTCAGCCTCTCTTTCTATTCTAAATTCAATATATCCCGTTTTGGATAGAAATCTGATCTCAACTTCGCATTATATGTATTTTTCTATCTGTAAACCTTAAGATCCTATAAATATCTGAATTCAGCCTCTCTTTCTATTCTCAATTCGAAATATCCCGTTCTGGATGGTAGTGTTATCTAAAATTCGCATTTTTATATATTTTTCTATATGTACCCTCTAAGTTTTTATGAAAAATCTGAATTCAGCCTCTTTTTCTATTCTAAATTCAATGTATCCCGTTTTGGATAGAAATCTGATCTCAACTTCGCATTATATGTATTTTTCTTTCTGTACCCCCTAAGATCCTATAAATATCTGAATTCAGCCTTTCTTTCTATTCTCAATTCAAAATATCCCGTTTTGGATGGTAATGTTATCTAAAATTCGCATTTTTATATATTTTTCTATATGTACCCCCTAAGATCCTATGAAAAACCCAAATAAAGCCTCTTTTTCCTTTCTCAATTCGAATTATACCGTCCTGCATAGAAATCTTACATCAAACTCGCATAAAATATATTTTTCTATCTGTACCCCCTGAGATCCTATAAAAATCTGAATTCAGCCTCTCTTTCTATTCTCAATTCGAAATATCCCATTCTGGATGGTAATGTTATCTAAAATTCGCATTTTTATATATTTTTCTATATGTACCCCCTAAGTTTCTATGAAAAATCTAAATTCAGCCTCTCTTTCTATTCTAAATTCAATATATCCCGTTTTGGATAGAAATCTGATCTCAACTTCGCATTATATGTATTTTTCTATCTGTACACCTTAAGATCCTATAAATATCTGAATTCAGCCTCTCTTTCTATTCTCAATTCGAAATATCCCGTTCTGGATGGTAATGTTACCTAAAATTCGAATTTTTCTATATTTAACCCCTAATTTTCTATGAAAAAGCTAAATTCAGCCTCTTTTTCTATTCTCAATTTGAAATATCCCGTTCTGAATAGAAATCTTATATCAAACTCGCATTAAATATATTTTTCTACATGTACCCCGCTGAGATCCTATAAATATCTTAATTCAGCCTCTCTTTCTATTCTCAATTCAAAATATCCCGTTCTGGATGGTAATGTTATCTAAAATTCGCATTTTTATATATTTTTCTATATGTACCCCCTAAGATCCTATGAAAAACCCAAATTAAGCCTCTTTTTCCTTTCTCAATTCGAATTATACCGTCCTGGATAGAAATCTTACATCAAACTCGCATTAAATATATTTTTCTACATGTTCCCCCTGAGATCCTATAAATATCTGAATTCAGCCTCTCTTTCCATTCTCAATTCGAAATATCCTGTTCTGGATGGTAATGTTATTTAAAATTCGCATTTTTATATATTTTTCTATATGTACCCCCTAAGTTACTATGAAAATTCTGAATTTAGCCTCTCTTTCTATTCTCAATTCAAAATATCCCGTTCTGAATAGAAATCTTATATCAAACTCGCATTAAATATATTTTTCTACATGTACCCCCTGAGATCCTCTAAATATCTGAATTCAGCCTCTCTTTCTATTCTCAATTCGAAATATCCCGTTCTGGATGGTAATGTTATCTAAAATTCGCATTTTTATATATTTTTCTATGTGTACCCCCTAAGTTTCTATGAAAAATCTAAATTCAGCCTCTCTTTCTATTCTAAATTCAATGTATCCCGTTTTGGATAGAAATCTGATCTCAACTTCGCATTATATGTATTTTTCTTTCTGTACCCCCTGAGATCCTATAAATATCTGAATTCAGCCTCTCTTTCTATTCTCAATTCGAAATATCCCGTTCTGGATGGTAATGTTATCTAAAATTTGCATTTTTATATATTTTTCTATGTGTACCCCCTAAGTTTCTATGAAAAATCTAAATTCAGCCTCTCTTTCTATTCTAAATTCAATGTATCCCGTTTTGGATAGAAATCTGATCTCAACTTCGCATTATATGTATTTTTCTTTCTGTACCCCCTGAGATCCTATAAATATCTGAAATCAGCCTCTCTTTCTATTCTCAATTCGAAATATCCCGTTCTTGATGGTAATGTTATCTAAAATTCGCATTTTTATATATCTTTCTATGTGTACCCCCTAAGTTTCTATGAAAAATCTAAATTCAGGCTCTTTTTTCTATTCTCAATTCGAAATATCCCGTTCTGAATAGAAATCTTATATCAAACTCGCATTAAATGTTTTTTTCTACATGTACACCCTAAGATCCTATAAATATTTGAATTCAGCCTCTCTTTCTATTCTCAATTCGAAATATGCCGTTCTGGATGGTAATGTTATCTAAAATTCGCATTTAGATATATTTTTCTATATGTAACCCCTAAGTTTCTATGAAAAATCTGAATTCAGCCTCTTTTTCCATTCTCAATTCGAAATATCCCGTTCTGAATAGAAATCTTATATCAAACTCACATTGAATATATTTTTCTACATGTACCCCCTGAGATCCTATAAATATCTGAATTCAGCCTCTCTTTCTATTCCCAATTCGAAATATCCCGTTCTGGATGGTAATGTTATCTAAAAATCGCATTTTTATATATTTTTCTATATCTACCCCCTAAGTTTTTATGAAAAATCTAAATTAAGGTTGTTTTCCATTAGGCGGAAAAATGTGAGCGGTCCGCTCGTAAAACCAAGCGGTTTTTCCTCCTGATGGAAATTGCTTGGCGGAAAATAAGGGACGGAGCGTGGGAGAGACGAGACAAGATGGCCGCCGTAAGTTCACAAATGAAAATAAAGCTTCTGTTGTTGGTTCTGCTGCGGAGAAGATTAAGAAGAAATGAAGAAAAATACAAGAAAAAAATGTGGGTCAGAAAAATTTACCAAGACCGTCACTTGAAGGGTGAATTTCACTTGTTAGTGAACGAGTTAAGATTATTTGATCATGAGCTTTTCTTTGCTTGTTTTCGCATGTCACCATCTACCTTTGAAAAACTATTATCTTGGGTTGCTCCACACATAATAAGACAGACAACAAGGTTTCGTGAGCCAGTACATCCAAATGAGCGCCTTGCTGTGACTTTACGGTACTTAGCTACGGGTGATGCCAAGTCAACAATAGCCTTAAGCTATCGAATTAGCCCTACTACAGTTGGAAGGATTGTTGAAGAGACTTGTAAAGTAGTGTGGATGGTGCTTCTGGAAAGGAATTTTCTATCAGTTCCAAATAGTCAAGCTGCATGGAAAACAATTGCCAAAGCTTTCAATTGAAAAATGGAATTTTCCACATTGCTTAGGGGCAATAGATGGGAAGCATGTTGTAATGCAAGCCCCTTCACGAAGTGGCTCTGAGTTTTACAATTACAAAAGAACACATAGCATCGTTCTTTTGGCGACCTGTGATGCTAGTTATAAGTTTGTCTTGGTTGATGAAGGTGATGCTGGGAGACAAAGCAATGGTGGGGTGTACACAAACAGCAAACTTGGCTTTGCAATTGAAAATCAAAAATTGAATCTCCCCCCACCGGAAGTGATACATGGAACTCAAAAAGTGTTCCCATTTGTATTTGTTGCTGATGAAGCATTTTCATTGAAGCAGCATATGCTAAAGCCATACCCTTGCCATAGCCTTGATGAACATAAGCGTGTTTTCAATTACAGGTTATCAAGAGCAAGGCGAGTCAAAGAAAATACCTTTGGAATTGCGGCTGCAAGATTTAGGATTTTCCGTCGACCTATAATTGGAAAGGTTGACACTGTCATTGCTATAACAAAAGCCATTGTGGCTTTGCACAATTTTTTGATTTCATTGGATGAGACTGACAGATGCATATACTGTCCTTCAAATTTTGTAGATAAGGATCAAGACGTTGGAATGTGGAGAGAAGAGGCCCAGTCTTGTGAAGGCTTAATAGAGATCCAAAGTCAAGGTTCCAATAACTATTCAAAGTAAGCTAAAATAGTTAGAGATGACTTCAAAGATTATTTTTGCAAAGAGCACCCTTAGTTGGCAATGGCAAACAGTCAGATCAACTGCTAATAGATTTGATGAAAAATAAACTGGATAATCTCAAACATTTTATTGAAATATTTTCAAAATAACCATAAATATGCTATCAGACTCTCTTGTTTAGAGTGAATACCCCCCTTCATATAAGTGACACAAAAACCAGCTCCCTCCATTTATTACTTGAACAATTCCTAAGAAGAACATTGCTATTTAAGAAATTTGACCTGCTTGATAACATAACAATTACTTTGAAGTTTTGGAGGCTTTGAAAAACAGAATTTTGTAGCCTAGACTAGGATAGCCATATTAGCTTTTTTCTTCTTTCCCAAACTCTCTATTAGACAAAAGACAGTTCTTCTCAAATAGTGGAGTAAACCCTTTTGGGTGCACAATGCAATGCCAAGTGGGGGTATGTTTCTCTAACTATATCATATATCTATATATAATATTGTATCTATAATCTGTCTGATGAGTGCGTAAGCACGAAACTTGGAGTAACAGAGAACATGTCTCATTTCTAGTATATATTCTATTTTATTATATCTATTGCTCTGTGCTTTTGCACATCGAGCACTGTCACGTCAGGTGGGGGGGGGGTGCTTGCAAAATATAGTTGTGAAGCAAAGGCCTTAGTTGTCTTCTATTCTGACCTTGAGAACATCTCTGTATACTTTTGGCACAAAATGTGAACAGAACAGTATTATTATAGCAAATACCATAAATTCTCTACTAAGCCCCCCAGGGGCCTTATTGATTTCAAGCACTCTAAAGGGGGCTTATTAAAGAGGGAAGCCTAAAAGAGAGAGGGGGCTAAATATATTTCTCAAATATAAAAATTCTCAGTAGTGCACTTTATTGAAAACTGTTGTCTATTGAGTGTGATCAGGCTTACTACAACTACTTTCTTCAAGCTTATTTATGACACTATTCAATGCTTTTGGGGGATGGGGCTTAATAGAGTGAGGGGCTTCTAAATTTTTTGCTTCTAAAAGGGGGGCTAATAGGAGAGAGGGGGCTTAACTGAGAGGGGATTTAAAAGAGAATTTATGGTAAGTAAAATTAGTCAAAAGATAACAATCAGTTTATGATACAAATCAATTTGGTGTTTCAAAGCTTTAGTCTGAAAACTCAATATTATATAGCAACTGCTGGATTTCCATTTTGGCTTCACTGTTCTTCTTTGGAGGTAGTCTCTTCAGGGTGGCAACACAGCTCCTGCAGAAGAGGGAATCAGCATCTTCATTAATGGATGCCTCAGTATTTTTTTTCTCATTTTGTGACATATCCTTGATAGTTGATAATAACATGGCATCAACTGCCAATCCCAAATCTTGTCTTGCCTTTTTCCCCTTCCCATTTGGAATTTTCTAAATTTTTCCTTTTTACAGGCTCTTCCTTTGATAATAAATCTGTGCTTGGACAAACATCTTTGTCTGTTAATTCTGAACAGGTTGGTTCGGTTGGTTCAAGTGAAACATTGCTCTCTGTCTGACGACTAGAAACCTTGTCATGCATGAATGAAAGCTGATCAAAATATTTACATTTTGGCAACTTTGTGTGTGAAGCTCCAGATCTTGTTTCCTTGTTTCTTTTGTCCAGACATCGTTTCAAATTATCTTTTAGATACTTTAACTGTGTCTTGAGAAAATCAACTAGAGAAAAAATGTCAAGTTTAATTCAAGGTTTATTTTTTTCAAAAATTAACCCTTTCCTATTAATCCTTACCATTTTTACCAAATTTCTCCGATAAAACCATCGCATTAATCTTATATCAAACTCGCATTAAATATATTTTTCTACATGTACCCCCTGAGATCCTATAAATATCTGAATTCAGCCTCCCTTTCTATTCTCAATTCAAAATATCCCGTTTTGGATGGTAATGTTATCTAAAATTCGCATTTTTTTATATTTTTCTATATGTACCGCCTACGTTTTTATGAAAAATCTAAATTCAGGCTCTTTTTCCATTCTCAATTCGAAATATCCCGTTCTGATTAGAATTCTTATATCAAACTCGCATTGAATATATTTTTCTACATGTACCCCCTGGGATCCTATAAATATCTGAATTCAGCCTCTCTTTCTATTCTCAATTCAAAATATCCCGTTCTGGATGGTAATGCTATCTAAAATTCGCATTTTTATATATTTTTCCATATGTACCCCCTAAGTTTCTATGAAAAATCTGAATTCAGCCTCTCTTTCTATTCCCAATTCGAAATATCCCGTTCTGGATGGTAATATTATCTAAAATTCGCATTTTTTTATATTTTTCTATGTGTACCCCCTAAGTTTCTATGAAAAATCTAAATGCAAGCTCTTTTTCCATTCTCAATTCGAAATATCCCGTTCTGATTAGAATTCTTATATCAAACTCGCATTGAATATATTTTTCTACATCTACCCCCTGGGATCCTATAAATATCTGAATTCAACCTCTCTTTCTATTCTCAATTCGAAATATCCCGTTCTGGATGGTAATGTTATCTAAAATTCGCATTTTTATATATTTTTCTATATGTACCCCCTAATTTTCTATGAAAAATCTGAATTCAGCCTCTTTTTCCATTCTCATTTCGAAATATCCCGTTCTGAATAGAAATCTTATATCAAACTCGCATTAAATATATTTTTCTACATGTACCCCCGCTGAGATCCTATAAATATCTGAATTCAGCCTCTCTTTCTATTCCCAATTCGAAATATCCCGTTCTGGATGGTAATGTTATCTAAAATTCGCATTTTTATATATTTTTCTATATGTACCCCCTTAGTTTCTACGAAAAATCTAAATTCAGCCTCTTTTTCCATTCTCAATTCGAAATATCCCGTTCTGAATTGAAATCTTATCTTAAACTTGCATTAAATATATTTTTCTACATGTACCCCTAAGATCCTATGAAAAAACTTAATGCAGCCTCTCTTTCACATCTTCATTTCAAATAGCCTGTTCTGGAAAGAAATCTTATATCAAACTCGCATTAAATATATTTTTCTACATGTACACCCTAAGATCCAATAAAATATCTGAATTCAGCCTCTTTTTCTATTGTCAATTCAAAATATCCCGTTCTGGATAGAAATCTTATCTAAAACTCGAATTATACGTAATTTTCTACAGGTACCCCCTAAGATCCTATGAAATATCTAAATTCAGCCTCTGTTTACAATCGCAATGCGAAATATCCCGTTCTGGATGGTAATCTTATCTAAAATTCGCATTACTACATATTTTTCTACATGTAACCCGTAAGATCCTATAAAATATTTGAATCGAGCCTCTCTTTCTATTCTCAATTCGAAATATCCCTTTCTCAATTGAAATCTTATCTCAAACTCGCATTAAATATATTTTTCTACATGTACCCCTAAGATCCTATAAAAAAAACTTAATGCAGCCTCTCTTCCACATCTTGATTTCAAATAGCCCGTTCTGGATAGAAATCTTATCTAAAACTCGCATTATATATATTGTTCTTCATGTACTCCCTAAGAATTTATGAAAAATCTAAATACAGCCTCTCTTTCCATTCTCACTTCAAAATATCCCGTTCTCAATTGAAATCTTATCTTAAACTCGCATTAAATATATTTTCTACATGTACCCCTAAGATCCTATGAAATACTCAATGAAGCCTCTCTTTCATATCTTGATTTTAAATAGCCCGTTCTGGATAGAAATTTTATCGAAAACTCGCATTATATATATTGTTCTTCATGTACCCCTTAAGAATCTATGAAATATCTAAATTCAGCCTCCTTTTCCATTCTCAATTCGAAATATCCCGTTCTGAATTGAAATCTAATCTTAAACTTGCATGAAATTTATTTTTCTACATGTACCCCTAACATCCTATGAAAAAACTTAATGCAGCCTCTCTTTCACATCTTCATTTCAAATAGCCTGTTTGGAAAGAAATCTTATATCAAACTCGCATTAAATATATTTTTCTATATGTACCCCCTAAGTTTCTATAAAAAATATCTAAATTCAGCCTCTTTTTCCATTCTCAATTTGAAATATCCCGTTCTGAATAGAAATCTTATATCAAACTCACATTAAATATATTTGTCTACATGCACCCCCTTAGATCCTATAAATATCTGAATTCAGCCTCTTTTTCCATTGTCAATTCGAAATATCCCGTTCTGGATGGTAATCTTATCTAAAATTCGCATAATTATATATTTTTCTACATATACACCCTAAGATCCAATAACATATCTAAATTAGGCCTCTCTTTCCATTCTCAATTCAAAATATCCCGTTCTGGATAGAAATCTTATCTAAAACTCGAATTATACGTAATTTTCTACAGGTACCCCTTAAGATCCTATGAAATATCTAAATTCAGCCTCTGTTTACAATCGGAATGCGAAATATCCCGTTCTGGATGGTAATCTTATCTAAAACTCGCATTACTATTTTCTACATGTAACCCCTAAGATTCTATAAAATATCTGAATCGAGCCTCTCTCTCTATTCTCTATTCGAAATATCCCGTTCTCAATTGAAATCTTATCTCAAACTCGCATTAAATATATTTTTCTACATGTAACCCCTGATATCCTACGAAGAATCTAAATTAAGCCTCTCTTTCCATTGTAAACAGCCCGCCCTTCCATTCTCAACTTGAAATATCCTTTTCTTGATATAATTTTTTATCTAAAACGCAAATAATTTGTATTTTTCCACATCTACCCGCTTAGTAACGATGAAAATATAATTTCAGCCTCCCTTTCAATTCTCATATTGAAACTTCCCTTTCTTGATAGAAATTTCAATCTAAAATGCAAATAACATGTATTTTTCAACATCTATGTAGGAAAAAAATATAGATTCAGCCATCCTTTACATTCTTAATTTGAAACATCCCCTTCTCATTAAAATTTTATTTCTTAAACTCACATTATTTGTAGTTTTCCACTAAAACCCTATACGTACCCATGAAAAATCTAAATTCAGCCTTCCTTATTTTTCTTCTAAGATAATATATACAGACTTTTTTTATTGATTTCAAATATACCCTTTCATATGACCTAATTTCTAATCCTTTATTTCAAATAAAGGTTTTGATGCATGGCTTTTAATGAAAACGCGTATTATTTGAATTTTTCAATGTTGACTTCCTTCCAAAGGTAAAAAAATAGTCTAGGTATTTTGTTGTTCTCTCGATTTTGCAAGTCGTAAGGTACACTGAATACTAATTGTCAATATCATTATATACACAGGTGTTATACAGAAATGGTACACAATTAACGGTGTTTGATTTATCATAACAATTCTTCCATTAGATGTCGGAAAAATGGTCAAATAAATTCATCTTCAGAATCATCATCTGATTGCGATTAAATGTCTGATTCATCATCTGACTGCTCAGCAACGTCATTATACATCACTTCCGCTAAAAATTCGCAGCGAATCGATTCGCTGTATTCAATATTCCGGACAGAAGTGTCAAATGCTTTGACGGTTGCTTTGTCTGAATCAATGTCGCATTTCAGTTGTATAATATGGCGTTTCAACAGAGCCGAAAATCCAACTGAAAAAGCGTCACCTGCTTCAGCCAATAATTTGATTCTCTCTAGCATTAAAGAAATGCAGGAGAGTTTTGATTCCAGAGAGTTTGACATTCCTGTCTTAGGAAGGCTTCTTCTTTGTCTCATCTAGTCATAAGGTCAGTCAATTTAATGATGCGTCCTTTTGTAGAAAATGGGATGCTATCAACGGACTTCGATTCATCTGCTCTTAATCTGTTGAACAAGGAAGAATTTGGATCCTTTGCTTCCAAAAAGGTGATAGATTTTGCAGAGATCATCATATGCTCTTTCAAAAGCGAAAGCTCAATACTTGGCAAGCTCGTTCTTTCTCCTTCTTGTCTGTTTATTCACTTGTCTTGCCAGCCGGACAGCTTGCTTTTGTCCAGCTGAAAAGAAAGAGAAGAATAATCATGCGAACTCCTATCTTCCATGTCTGGAGCTAGCCATCATTCAAAGTCACAGTTACATGGGCTCTGACGCAGGTTGCAAAGTGGAGAGGCCAAGAGAAAATATAACAATCATGACAAAATATTTTTAAAAAGCTCTATTGTTTGGCAAAAAAGTGAGAGGGCCCACCTTCATCAAAGGCCCTGATGAAGAGAGGATTTTGATCTTCTACTTAGAAAGCATACATACTCGAGTATCTTTCCTTTAGCATAACCTGAAGATGACATTCAATGGATAAGAGATGCAGCTTTTGTAGGAAATTTTCTCTTTTCTCCTCCTGCAGAAAACGCATGGTGGCGATAAATTGTGGGTTTGACAGCTTCCTCTTTTTGAATATTTCATTTGATTCAATTTTCTTCAATTGTTCATTCAGCCTGTATAAATAAATCATATATTGTGTAAAATTTCTTCACAAATCAATATCTTCTTTCTGCTGTCATGAATGAAAATGATAACAGAAATGTACCGCAACAAATAATGACTGGAAGGTTTAATATACCTTTTTATCTTTTTTGGTAGTTTGTCTTCATTTGAGTTGAAATTTCTTTCGTTTGATGCAATAGAGTTCCTGAAGTAACATGAAACATAAATTCGACATTCCGATTTAATATTAGAGAGTTTACGATCCATGGTATGTGCACTAGTTTTGTCTCCCCGTAGTCACAAAACATGTTACGAATCACGACCTAGTTTGAAGTACGCAGCTTTGTCACCAAAATCAAATTTGTATCAAAAATGGCGGACAAACTAATAATGCTGCATGCTGCAGGACTTTTGGATGCTGAAGAGATTCTAATTTTTGATGTTGCCAACAGGAGAAATAACGTTCACGCTATGCTGCCATACGGGAATTATGATCGTTTTGTTCTGGAGGACATGGATGATAGTGAATGTTTGGTGGATTTTCGGTTTAAGAAGGACGATATTTATAGTTTCGCTGTTGCACTGTGTCTCCCTGAGGTTTTTAAATGCATGAATGGCCTTATAGTCGACTCTGTCGAAGCACTGTGCACTTGCCTTAGACGTTTGTCATACTCTAGTCGATATGCAGACTTGGTTCCAAGGTTTGGTAGGCCAGTTCCTCAGTTGTGTATGATATTCAATAGAGTAATTGACTTTATTGTTGACACTCATGGACATCTCTTGAGGAGTCTAGACCAGCCTTCACTCTCACGGGAAAATCTGCAACAATATGCAGATGCAATTCACCAAAAAGACGCTGCTCTAGACAATTGCTGGTACTATGCGTCCAATTTGTAGATGGACATAAACGAGTACATGCCCTGAAATTCCAGTCTGTTGTTGAACCAAATGGCCTTATTGTCAACTTATTTGGACCAGTTGAAGAAAGGCGGCATGACAGTGAGATATTAGGAATGTCTGGTTTGTTGGACCAGCTTGAAAGATACTCGTTTTCACCAACAGGCCAGCCATCACCTGTAAGGAGAGTTGTGCTGTCACCTGTAAACAAGCCTTCAATCAGTCCATGAGCCAGGTCTGAGTCTCAGTTGACTGGGTTTTTGGAGACATCTTGAACCATTTCAATGATTGCACTGATTTTAAGAAAGACCTCAAAATTGGGCTCAGTGCTGTTGGGAAGATCTATGTTGTTGACTTGCCTGTATAGTAACAACACAGCATCATATTTCAACATCCAACCACCTACCCTGGCTCAGTACTTTAATGTTCAGTGAAATGTTGGGTGATGTGGTCAATCGATCCAACATTTCACTGAACATTTGAGAACAAAAGAAATGTTCAGTGAAATGTTGGGCGGTTTTTGATCCCGAAGAAATTTCTCTGAACAACACCTAACATGAATTTTGTTCACTGAACATGGTGATCAAACGATCTAACATTTCACTGATGTTCAGTGAAATGTTAGGTAAAATGTTGCATCGTTTGACCGGGGCTTAATGCAGTCTTTGTCAAAGTCAAAAATGTGAAAACGGGACATTCAACCTAAATGTTAACATAAGTCTGCAAGAACAAAGTCGACTCAACATATAAAATTGAAATCAGCAAATTTTGGTTTATAAAAGTGTGCTTTTATCTAAAAGCTCTAAATGACTCGATTTTTGTCTCCTACAAACTTCAATGGCACTTCCTGTCTTTTAATAAAAGTAGCAAAATCCAATGAACCCAGCTTCTTTTTGTTTAATTCATTGGCTTTTTTGTTGTGTCTTTGTGACTGGAAAGCTAAAAGTGTGCACGGTCAAGATATGGATATCATTACCTTTTATTTGCAGCGTGGAGACCAGATTGGCATCAGCTACACTTGCACTTGGTTTACTTTCTTTGATTGTGGTCCCCAGTTAATATTGAGGTATCTAGATTTCATTCTCTACCCTCAGTCCTTCTTGGTCTTGAATTTTGTGTAGAATTTCTTTGCATTTTCTTACCATACATATAAACAATTTTATAAAAAAATTTACAACAATCTGAAAAGTATTTGTAGCTAGTTTTAGCATCTGAAAACATATGAAAGAATATTTACCTTGTTTTCAGATTGAACAGGATTAGGAAAACAAGGCTTTATAATAAGGCATTGAGCATAGCAGCATGCTCAGTAGACATAGTGAAATTACAAGAAGGACCATCAAATGTAACAGAAGCTACCTCTGTTTCAGTGTTTCACAATCGCTGCAGACACAAATTTACAAGATTAGCACTTTCAACACCACGCAACCCATCAATTAATAAAAATATCTGGAAGGGACTTTCCAAGACAGCCATCAAAACAAGAGCATCTTTCACAACAGGTGCTGACTCATCATCTGATGCTCCCTCGCTTAAATCAAAATATCTGGAAAATTGTTTCTCATCTCAATAAATCTGTTTTCGAATGGTTTGAATGGCCATTTCATCCAACACCAATTCACACACTATCTACATTCTTTTGGTGGTACAAAACTTGTAAATAGCTTTGAAAATCAAAACAAGAGCATCTTTCACAACAGGTGCTGACTCATCATCTGATGCTCCCTCGCTTAAATCAAAATATCTGGAAAATTGTTTCTCATCTCAATAAATCTGTTTTCGAATGGTTTGAATGGCCATTTCATCCAACACCAATTCACACACTATCTACATTCTTTTGGTGGTACAAAACTTGTAAATAGCTTTGAAAAAAGCAAACATTTAGTAAACTAAAGCTTTTCGTCTGACACTCTTCAGAGTATCTATGTTCTGACGTTTTAAACTCTGAAGAGTGTCAGACGAAAAGCTTTAGTTTACTAAATGTTTGCTTTTTTCAAAGCTATTTACTATCTACATTGTTTCTAGCGACATCAACATTCGCCAAGAATGCTAGTGCAGCTGGAACTTTGCTGTATTATCTCCTAATGCGAGCATGGTGAGACACTGCAAGATCTTATTTCTGTCCCACAACATTTTATATAGGCAAAAGCACTGGTTGTGTGAATCTTGGTGAAGCTGCAGCTTTGGCTATCGAAGAGTCATTGGCATTAGTGCCATTGGAACTCCAGCTTTTCTTGACAGTTGTCAGAAATAATTGCTGTCTGTTCTAGTTTTTTAATAACTGCTTTCAAAGATGTTAGGTTTGATTTTAATCTTCCAGGTTTTTGCTTTTGTGTTTTCATTTTCCCCTGAAAATGACCAGTTGCTCGATGCTTTTTCTCAATTGAGATTTTAGAGATTTTGTGAACTATTTTATTACACAAAATCACGAGACTAAAGTAAGACATTTAAAATTAGGAAAAAGTAATTTAAGTAATTTTTTCAAAGAATTTCAAAGAGTTTTAAATAAATTAATTACATAAATCTTTCCTTTTAAGTGCATTTTCAGTTACATTAATTAAGGAATTTCGTTAATGTGGTAACACAGTCAGTTGGAAACCAAATGTGCAAGACAAACTAGACTTTTAGAGGGATTTCAACAATCAGCATGACTGATTTGCAATAGACCTGTTTCTTTATATGGACACCATTTTCAAACCCACTGCATTTTGGGATGGCCAGGGGGCAAACAACTTTTGACGGCCTTAGCAACCAAGTCAAAAATACAGCAGTTTTGTTTACATCAAGCAAAAGTCACCAGTTTATTCATTTTATGAGAAAAAATATGGGCAAATCACACCACTGGGCTGAATGTGACAGTGATCGTAGATATTCTGAAAAATACGTCCGAAAGGAACATACTGCTAAACTTGATAGCTCTCTGTTGATGCGATTTTGGTTTAGCAAGCCTCAGGTTTTCAATACTTGGTCGAGAATGATAAACAGAGAAGTTGTTGGAGAAGGATTAAGAAAAGAGATTGTTCAGGGTAACAAGATATAATTAAGTTTGTTCAAATCATTTCGTTTTTGGATGGCTTACCAGTTATTATCCCTATCCAATGCTTTCTTTCGTGGTTATGGTGAGCCTATGAACCCTCCAAAGCGAAGGCCACTAGACCGCACACCAACCGAACTTTCTTCAAAAAAGCAATTGGATTTAAATTCATCCTTTCTAGCATTGACGATACAGCTTGTAAATTCGATTTACTTCATCCAAATGTAGGACAAGCCTCTGCACTTTCTCCAGTTCCTCTTGCTGATGAAATAGCAGAAGATTCCCCTTCCTCTTCCTCTTTATCTTCCCATCTAAGCAAATTGTTGTCTTTAAGACTTCATTTGGAGCAAATTTCTAGTGATGCAAGCATCATAAAGTTGTACACTGTTTGCCCTACAGCCAAATCGTTTATGTTTATTGTGAAAAAGATTCACCCGAAACATGGAAAAGTTGCCTATTACAAAGGAAAAGAGTCAGACACAGTGAAATGATATCAACACAGTCCATCAAAACCATGTAGTCAAAAAAACCAGGACCATCTCGACAACTGAAACTTGAAGATGAAACTCTATTGAACCATTCTAATATTCTAATGCGTATCCAGTTAGATTCCGCAGTTGCTGATCTTGCATTTCGTTTTCAGATTTCTCAAAGTCATGCCTCAAAAACATGCACTACCTTCATTGTACTGTTAGCACAAAAGCTTTGAAATGAAACTGATAGAACCCTTCATCTACTGGCCCACTCCAGAAGAAACACTTGCCCTCCACTACCAACATTTTAACCATGAATTTTTCAAAGTTGAAGGAATTGGGGATTGCACAGAACAATTCATCCAGAAGCCATTTAACTCAAAAGCACAATATCAAACCTACAGCACCTATAAAAGTGGCAACACCCACAAAAAGTAAATCTTTTGCATCAAAGGTGGATCTATCAGTTTCATTTCAAAATCTTATTCTGGTTCTGTTTTGGATTGGTTCATCAGAGAAAATTGCAATGTAGTGAATAAATTTGCTCTTGGATCTATTGCCATCTTTGATAACGGCTTTACAGTTCCAGGCATCTTCCTACCAAAAGACGTTTTTGTAAAAATACAACCATTTGCCAAAGATAAAAAACAGTTAACCCCCAGTGAAATAGCTGATGCAAAAAGAGTTGCCCGTGTAAGAATTAATATAGAGTGTGTTATTGGACAGTTGAAAGAATTAAGATTGCTTGACCATACTCTACCTGTAAGTTTATTAGACCTTATCGATGATATCTAGACAAGTCATTTTACAAGTCAGCTCCTCTTGAATACGTGGGGTCTATATATCTTTATATACCAGTGATGAAACAGATGGCGCCTATACGTGGCCCAATTTTCAAGAGTTGAAAACCCAGAAATTTGAAATATCCGGATTTAGGTGCCGGTGCCTTTATGCGAGACTATAGGGTACATGTAATATATTTATAATTACTAATAGAGAGTGCGGGAAAATAACTGACCCGAGCCAGGCTTGAACTCACGACCCCTGACTTTCTACGTCAAGTGCTCTACCGCTGAGCTATCGGGTCGTGCTTTCAAGCCAACACCCAAGGCCGAGTCATTCACCCGCACTGCCCCTCTCTTTTACCAGATACACAGGTCGGTTATTTTCCCGCACTCTTCATTAATTATCTTCAAAATCCTGTTGTCTGTAAACTTTTTCTTCAACCCTATCCAGTGTTGGGGCTGCGATGGCCCTCCTGGTGTGGGCAGTCTTCTCTCATTCTTCAGGTCCTCTGCATTTTGTGATGGAGCTGCGATGGCTCCCCTATGTATCTGGTAAAAGAGAGGGGCAGTGCGGGTGAATGACTCGGCCTTGGGTGTTGGCTTGAAAGCACGACCCGATAGCTCAGCGGTAGAGCACTTGACGTACAAAGTCAGGGGTCGTGAGTTCGAGCCTCACTCGGGTTGGTTATTTTCCCGCACTCTCTATTAATTATCTTCGAAATCCTGTTGTCTGTAAACTTTCTCTTCAACCCTATCCAGTGTTGGGGCTGCGATGGCCCTCCTGGTGTGGGCAGTCTTCTCTCATTCTTCAGGTCCTCTGCATTTTGTGATGGAGCTGCGATGGCTACCCTATGTATCTGGTAAAAGAGAGGGGCAGTGCGGGTGAATGACTCGGCCTTGGGTGTTGGCTTGAAAGCACGACCCGATAGCTCAGCGGTAGAGCACTTGACGTACAAAGTCAGGGGTCATGAGTTCGAGCCTCGCTCGGGTCGGTTATTTTCCCGCACTCTTCATTAATTATCTTCAAAATCCTGTTGTCTGTAAACTTTCTCTTCAACCCTATCCAGTGTTGGGGCTGCGATGGCCCTCCTGGTGTGGGCAGTCTTCTCTCATTCTTCAGGTCCTCTGCACTTTGTGATGGAGCTGCGATGGCTCCCCTGTGTATCTGGTAAAAGAGAGGGGCAGTGCGGGTGAATGACTCGCCCTTGGGTGTTGGCTTGAAAGCACGACCCGATAGCTCAGCGGTAGAGCACTTGACGTACAAAGTCAGGGGTCGTGAGTTCGAGCCTCGCTTGGGTCGGTTTTTTTCCCGCACTCTCTATTAATTATCTTCGAAATCCTGTTGTCTGTAAATTTTTAATTACCTTAGAAAACACAAAATGTTATGTAACTGTTGGTTAAAAGTATTAAGGGGAGTATTTGTTGCATACAGTTATAACTGGGTCTTATCTCATTAACACAAATAAAAATATACTTAAAAGGTCATGGATAAAGTAAATATCTGTTTACAGGCCTGTCATTTAGTGCTTTCTTTTACATAGACAGAACTATTTATGCTTTGGTTTATAGAACAAGGTGGATCTAAGTTGAATCTCTTAATTTCTCGTTTTGTACAATCATAAGACAGCAGTTTTTTGAACTAGGCTTTTGGTAACATAATTTTCCATGGGTTAATGCTGCTTAGAATTTGACATAGAAAGAGTCTATATATTATTTTTTCTTGAAGATAGAACATTAATTGCCTCTCTTGTTTATGTCTTAAGAAAAGGACTATTGTCTTTCTAATTTTATAACAAAATTTCCCTTAATGAAATAACATAATGAAATAAACTCAATACTAGCTATGTATTTTGTGAAGCAAATGTGGCAAACTTTCTTGTATGTTAAAAACACTAAGTTTTAATGGTAGATTTTTTTTATATGCATGACTATGAAAAAGTTTGATTGAATATTGTATAAAAAGGCAAATGTATACTGGCAAAACAATACTATATGTTCAAAAGATATGTTTATATGTCTCTCACCTATCTTCTCATTAAAATACCATCTGATACATGTTTTACGATGTCTTCCAAAAATAGTTTACATTCTGTTGCTAGTTTTTTTCAAAGGAAAACAGTCCAGGTAGAATAAATAAGTTAAAAAATCTAGTTAGCTTAGGCACACATAGGCAGGATCTTTGAAGATTTTTAATGCTATTGACAGTTTTGGCAAAAAGAGTTCAAAGTCACAGAAGTTAGCCCCAGTTATAAATCTGATGCTGTAATTGATACCAATATTGATGTTTTGGCCTCAATAAAATTGATCCATCAACTTTGATCAAGCATGAATCAGGCTTATCGAGATGTTCATTAATATCAAGGTCACGGCTGCTC